AACCCTGAAAGAATGTCTAGCACGGTTAGCATTCCATGAGAGCATATTACCACTATATTTCGGAATGCCCTGCTAGATTGTTAAGCCAACTGAGCATGCCAGCAGAACATTTTACAATTTATGTTAAATGTTCCGCTATATTGCTCGACCAGCTGAGCATTTCAGCAGATAAATTTTACACTATATTTAGGAATGCTTTGCTAGCTTGCCTAGCCAACTCAGCATTTTAGCAGAAATCTTTAACATTTTAGTTCGAATGTTTTGCAAGAAGAGCATTTGTACATTATATGTGCGAATTTTCGGCTATATTGATCCGCCAGCAATGCGTTCTAGCTGAGTATTTTTACTCTTTATTTTAGAATGCTCGGCTAGATTGCTCTGCTTGCTGAGCCTTTCTGCAGAGCATTATAATGCTATATCCTCAGCCAGCTGAAAATTCCAGCAGAGCATCTTTACACTATATTTCAGAATGCTCTGCTTGATTATCTAGCCATCTGAGCTTTCTTTAATTTACACTATTTGTAGGAATGCGTGGCTAAATTGCTCAGGCAGCTGCGCATTCCAGCAGAGCATTTGTACACTATATTTAGGAATGCCCCAATAGATAGCATAGCTGGTTGAGCACTTCAACAGAGTATTTAAAGACTTTGTTTTGGAATGTCCTGCTATATTGCTCTGTCAGCTGAGTATTCCAGCATTTACGAATGCTCAGCGTATTTTCCTAGCCAGCTAATCATTTCTGCAGAGCATTGTACACTATATTTTGTGATGTCCCGCTATATTACTCTGGCAACTGAGCATTCTAGCTGAGCATTTTAACTCTAAATACAGAATATTCTGCCAGATTGCTCTGCCACCGGCTATTCCAGCAGAGCATTTTTACACAACAGTTTTGAATCTCTTGCTAGATTACCTAGCCAGCTGAGCACTCCAACGGAGCTTTTTTGACACTATATTTTAGGAATGCCCTGCAGGATTGAATATCAAGCTGAGCATTCAAGCAGAGCATTTTACCTATTTTAAAGAATATCCCGTTATATTGCTCTGCCCTCCAGCTTAGCATTGTTGTAGAACATTTTTACTCTTCAGACTGCTTTGCTCGATTTCTCTGCCGGCTGAGCATTCCAGCTTAGCATTTTATTCCATATTTTTAGAAATGTCCCGCTAGATTATTTTGCCAGCTCGGCATTCCAGGAGAACATTTATAATATTGTATTAAATGATGCCCCGCAATATTGCTCTGTCAGTTCGGCACCTCAGCAGAGCAATTTCATACTATATTTAAGAATACCCTGCTTGATTGCTAAGCAAGCTGAAAGTTCAAGTAGCGCATTTTTCAAATTATATTTAGGAATGCCCTACTAGATTGCCAAGATACCTGAGTATTCCAGCCGAGCATTTTTACACTATATTTTTTTGAATGACCCGCTACATTGCTAAGCCAGCTGAGCGTTTTAACAGAGCATTTTATTATATATTTAGGTATGCAAATGTTGGAAGACAAAGTCATAGACAAGTTGCAAAATCATGTATAAACCGTGGACTTGGTTACGCAAGTGTGATTACTACCCGATACCAGTTCATTTACATTTGGACACAAAAAGACGTGCAAATTTGTTTAGTATAGGTTAAAGTTTATTAGTACGTATTAACTAAATTAAATTGGTCAGGAGAGGCGCAGCCGCGCGACAAATTTAATTTTGTAAATACGTACTAATAAGTTTTAACCTGCTTAGTGTTTTAAATTATTTTATTAACAGTTGATTAACTAGACTGATTTACAGTTTGCCGATTTACCAAAGTAAATGTGTTACGATTAATTTGAAATACTGCAATTCTATGGGACAAAAAAAATTCTTACACTAAGCGATATTAAGATTCGACTTGCTCTCTGATGGAATTCATCTGTTTACCAAATTATTCTGTGTAATGTCATTTTGAGCACAAACATTTTTGTTCGTTCTGAAAATGACTGAACTGGGGCATTGACTAGTGTTTCAGATCTTGTATTGATACATGATATGTAGACCTGACAGTGATGATGAATTGTTTTTGACATATACTTGTTGCAGTATATATTTGACTGGCACATACGAATGTGTTTGTCATGAGCGTTTCTTCCTATCTATTACTAAGGCATTTTTATATTATCAGTGATGTTAATGAAGAATAATTATGTCAAGGGTATGTTTCGGATCAAAGAAGACAAACTGAAATTCAAAAACCTAAAACTATTTTAAAAGCTTGCATAGATCACCTGGGACACTTAAACAGTACTGTTATATATTATTCTAATGATAATAATTCTTTAAGATATGTTTAGTATTAAATTCAGAATACATATTTAGCCCCATTGGAGTCTAAAGGGTGTAAAGCTATCAATTACTAAATATTTTTATAAACATTCAAATCAATTGTTTCCATTTGATGGTTGTTTCTTGAACGATTTCAATTATAAAATGTCTCTGTTTTTAACAAACGTAAATATTGTTCGGAAACAGAATAAAAATGTTCCGGGACAAAATAATATGCTGCTAATTTTAGAAAGTTTTGAACAATTTAGCAATGATAAATTGCATTAACCATTCGCTAATTAAGACAATCTGCAATGCACTACCAAGTCTCTTTTTTTTGTCATACATTGTGGAAACATTGGCATTTGGTATTCTTTTCTGAAATCAGAATAATAATTTTTGCAGCAGATTTATAGCTTCAATACTGATAAGCGTTGAAACACGTTTTTTTTTTTTTTGGTCGTTTTGCAAAGTTGAAATGGTTATTCTGTACGGACGGAAAGAGCAAATTGAAGAATATTTTGCTCAAAAGCTATTGGTCATAACCTACACCAAATGATACACCCACCTATGTTAAAAAAAGTGTTTCAAAGTCCTTTCAAGTCGAAACCCATCAGTAGAGTCTAAGTTGTCATTGTGAAGTAAAATGCGATTTACATTTGTGTCATATGATTTAAATTTTGTTGGTTCGCCGTAAAGCCAAAAAAACCCAAAAAATACAATGTTCTGTTAAGCATATCGGTAAATCAGACAGCGTTGATGTTGTTGTTGTTCTTGTCTCGTCTGCCATATACGTCTGTTTCTGATTTGATTCCAAAAGAATAGATGCTATCATTTTCAGACTGACAAATGATGTGACAGCCATGTTATTTTGTTGGCAGGTGACAACGACAACGCACTGTCAAAGACATTTTACTTTATTAGGTCACATATTACTAGTATATTTATCTCCAATATTAATCGTTCCTTTCTGTTACATGCAAGGTTTTGACTGAATATATATAATGCATACATATTACGACTAGGGGAATGACCAAATAAAACCCTTGTTGCTGTGAACTTATTATAACTATCATTATTTTGATTATAATCATAATGATAAATTATAATCAAAATAATAAATTATAATCATAATAATAAAACAAATAATGATATTATTATAATTAAAATAATAATTATTATTATTATTATTTCATCATCATTATCATCATCGTCATCATCATTATCAACATCATCATCATCATCATCATTATACTTATTTTATTATTGTTTCTTTTGATTGCTTATTCTGTATGTGTGAATAACAAAACAATAGAATTAAAGTCAGTGGTGTGACTGTTTATATTTTTAATTTATTCGCGTATATAGATAAAACTGTGTACTTATATCTGCCGTACTTCGTTAAGTTTTTATAACTTTTTATATGACTTGTGTCAATGCGTTGCGAAGGGTTATAAATGTATTACATCTTCTTTCTTTACAAGTTTCCTAAGTGACTGTAGACAAACGTTTTAAAAAATATTAATTATTCATCAATTCTACATGACAAACTTTGACATTTTACACGTTTTACCGTTTTACTCCGCATAATTGCTGAAAGCCTAAACTTATATAAAATAAATTATTATACACATTATCATGTACAAGTTTTTGTACTTTATTGATTAACTTTTATCAAACACGATCTGTATTATAAAGGGAAGTAAATCATATAAATTGTTGGAAATAACAATCGTCACAGTTATATCCCTTAAATTCTATATTTTCCGTTTAAATTATTGGCACCCAACTTAAAAAATATTGAATTTACAGGTGACAGTCAAAATAAGTTGTGCAATAATTGCTTTCAATCTTATATTCTACTTTTAATGAATATTCATTAACCCACGTGGCATACAGAAATATCTATCAATATCCGTTAGAATGTATTGTTGATTCTCACTAACCAGATAGAATCAAAGCACTGAAAGTACTGTTGGAAGGAAATTTTCATAGAAATTCCCAATGCCTGTGAAGTAAAAAGAAAGGAATATGTAAAGCTATTCGAGCTTCAATCCTACTTTCATTTTTAAAGCTAGCTGATTTGATAGGACCTCAAGACCATGCCATATACAAAATGTACAGCATTATTTAATAATAGTTAATGAAGAGACTTTTTATTTTAAACTCAAGGACCGAAAGCTCATCATGTGCTTACATGGTTAAGTTCAAACATGACTAATTGTGTTTTAGTATGAAATTTATGTACATGCTCTTAAAGCAGCACGCCTCCAAATTCATGCTGATTGCCATGAAAATTTTGAAAATGTGTTTAAAAGTATTATTTAGTAAAATAACCAAAAGGAAGCATTTTACACATTATCAATGGCACTTACAACCCACGAAAATTACTAAACATAGGTAAAAATATGCAAAAATAGCCCTTACTGCGTTAGTAAAGCTGTAGAAATATTGTTATAAATACTGAAAAAGCGGTCACTAATAGCACAATAACATGTAAATTATTACTAGAACTTTGAATTTTATACTTTTCCTAATAGGGGTCACTTATAGCACAATAACATGTAAATTATCACAAGAACTTTGAATTTTCATACTTTTCCTAATATGTTAGTACTTTTTTCGCAGGTTTGATTTTATTGAAAAAATTTTGCTCACCTGGAGGCGTGCTGCTTTAAAGTGAAAGTAAAACAAAGAACAATGATCTATAATAAACTTTTAATGTTAAAACTTGCATAAAAGTAAAAATATATGTTATATAAAAATAAATGCTTAAATATATGGAGATCATGGAATTTAGTTTGTCAGTCTTCATAAACTGTGTAAAAGGAACTCCACTGAGGTTTTTTGACATGATGGGACTGAAATTTATTTTTCTAGATTAATGTACCATTTGATGTGTTTTGATTAGTGCACACTTCATTTTTCAAGAATAATTATTCAAATTGTAAAAAATGACCCAAAATGAAAACGTTTGAACACATTTCACGCAGATCAGGCTGAGAAAAGCATAAAAATACGATTTCCAATTTATTTCAAAGTATATTTCTTAACTATCTGTGCATATATTTCTGTATCAAGTGCCCCAGCTCTTTTATGTAGAAATTCAAATGTTATGTTTTAGGCTTTATAACCTCAATGGAGTTCCTTTAAATTATTGGTACATATTCAGGTAACACAAGTTATAACAATCAGAATGATAGAGGCTTTAATGCAAACGGCCAGTGGTATAGGTGGTGCTGTTTTAAGAATTTACATACAAGACTGACATAATACAACAAAATTTAGTAAAAACTAGAAATGTGCCCATAGGACATGGATGCCACGCAATGAACAATGCTTATATTGAGTGGGTAATCAAAATATGTATATAACTAGATAAGTCAACTGGCAGCAAATCGAGCCTGTTGCTTTTAATCAGAACAGGACCTTAAAGCTTCAGATTAGGGAGAAAGATGTATACATAGGTAAACAGTTGTGATAAATGCTATCAAAATCCAGTCATGTACATTGTATATAGAAATATACTCTCATGTTTTAATTTGTTATTTGACCTTTGACCCAAAGTAGTGACCTTGATCCTGATTTTTCACACTACATTCCACCTCACTATGAAGACTGTTAAATTATGTCCAGAGTTATATGAAATATCTTCATAGATTTCTAAAGCATTCAAATATTATCAGTTATAAATCAATTTTTTGCATATAATTTGGTAAGGAAGGCATAATGTTGTATAAATTTTGTGGAATGTAACTGAAATCAAAACTTGACCTGTGTTTTGATATATTGTTGAATATACCAATTATAAATTGAATCCTTAAAAGGTGTACAAATCTTATTAGTTGGAAACTAATGTTAGTTGAACGTACTGACTGGACCGACAGACGGGGTAACACTTAATGTCCTGGCACCATTATTTAAATGGGATGGGCATATAAACTTAAAACAGTAGAGCTTACAAGAGCATTTCTGTTTTCATATTTTACTAGATAAAGTACAAAGAAATGAGATTGTTATATGAGCCATCACATGAAACTGTGATCAATCTAATATGAAGTTCGGCAAAATAACTAACAAGAACTGCATGTTTAACTATAACAGAATGTATGATTCAGAGGAACAATGTTTAAAAAAAGTAAATAATGTTGGCAAAAATAGGCAAAAAAAAAGAAAGAAAACATAAAAAAGTTGAATATGTTTGCACTTGTCATGAGTTAGCCAAGGTAATCTTAGCATGAGAACATAAATAAAATACAACATTATACAAAAAGGTAGTACAAAAATACTATGATCACAAGTTTGAAAGTGAACACTTGTTGGTAAAATTAAAAAGTAGAGAAAAACAGAATCCTCACAACAGTATTGAAAATGTTTCTGGCTTGATTTGATTAGGCCTGTTCATGGACGGTACTAGAAAGTGAAAGTTACTGCCCACGCCCCCTAGCACTGGCTGATGCAAAATTCAATATTTAAACACTAAAATGGTGACACTATGATCAAATAGATTTAATGCAAAGAGTAAGACCGTGAGGTATATTTGATAAAAGAGCAGTAATGTAAGTGTTTAAAGAAGTTTTAAGTGAAAAATTTAAAACTTAAACTTATGTCAGTTAAGAAGCATGATGAAAATATTCTAGCTTGTGTTCAATCATGTATTTATGATGACATATATGAAAGACATTATTATAAACAATAGTTTGGCAAATTATGGACAGAAAAGATGAAGAAACAAGAGGACCATGAAATCGCTCACCTTAATATAAAAAATTTCCATAACAAGGAACAAGTAATGTTGTAATATTAGGAAAGAAAATCATTGACCTCCTAGGGCAGGGCCAATTTTGACGCCATGAGTTTTAGTTGAACAAATTTGGTAGATACTTTATACTATGAGATGTTTCATACTTTATTTCTATGCTCTAGCTGATAAAGGTATTTTTCTAAAAGTTCTTACTATATACATAAGGGAAGTTAATTACCCCTTGGGTTGGGGACAATTTTTACCAAAGGGCTTTTTTATGATAAAACTTGATTGACACTTATATAAAGATGTTCCATGCCCAAGTTTTGATGAAACTGGCTTATCAGTGACGGGGAGATGTTACTTAAAGTAAAAGTTTACGGACGGACAACAGTTGGACAGAAAGAGATCACAAAAGCCCACCTTGTGGCAGGTGACCAAAAATGCACATATCACAAATTAATGAACTGAACAACTGTGTATCTATCACAGGTAGGGTTGGATACTGAAACCATATCAAAACTAATGGCACTTTACCATTCTAAAAAGTATCACTATATGTTTGTGCTCATATTAATATGTTTTTCTGTTTCTCAGTTTTGAAGGAAAAATTTGAAAACCATTTATTTGCTCTCACATGACAGCCACTTTGTTTCCATTGATTTATTAATATTAAGTTAAATATGATCTTCCATTAAAATGGAAGCTTTTTCAAGGTAACGCTATCATGACATTATTGTAATTAAATGCAAGTAAGCTGGTCTTAGTGTGTCATCTGTTATATGGAGAAAAGAAATATGAAGCGTAACTGTTAAAATACCATAATTTCAAAATACTAGTATTGTATCGTTTTATGTTTTACTTAATGATATCCAACCGTACCTGCAGGAGACACATACTCATATATACATATTTACAACATTGAACAAGAAGTGTAGGAAACATTTTTAAAGATGATTATAAAACAAAGCAAGAAGAAAAAAGCACATTTTTGTAAAAAATGAAGATGTACACAAAATATGTGGCATAATACTGACTAGATCGTTGTAATTATACTTATATGCATATTATATGATTTTATGTTGTTTGTGTTTCCCAGTGAAATAAAGGGGTATAATTATGAGTCCAAGACAGGTATTTTAAAACTTTTTGACGTGCAGCTGTTAAAATTGTAGAGAATACAATCAAAGCAATGTTCAAATTGTGTTAATATTATTATTACAGCTTTTTTGACGTGATAAAAATTGGAGGAACATCAATACACAACAATTATAAAGATAATTTAAGTAAGCAAAATACTAGAACACGAGCATTTCCATATAAGAATAGTCAATGAAACACATTATAAGGAATAGTTGCCTATAAAAATTTGGTAAAAGAAACATCAAATATTTTCATTGTTTGAACAGGGAAAAGAACTCTGAAGTTCTGTTGCATTGTGAAATGTATTGAACAAAAAGGAGAAATTATTCAATAGAGCAACATAGTGATGTTCTTTAAAATAAACACATATACACAAAATGAAACTAAAAAAACAGAACTACAAAAAAAAACAACAACAAAAAAACACTAATCAATGACTAGATTCATTTTTACATGAAGAAAAGTGAACAACAAGACAGATTTATGTAATAAAAGTAAATACTAATATGGCAGTTATGTGTGTTTTGGCACATAAGGTATATTTAGCTGCACAAAATCAAGTGAGCATAAAATGGCCTACTGGCACATGCCCATCAAATCTGTATCCCCTCTAGCTGGACAGCCTTAGTCGTTTTTGACAAACACAATTTTACAGAAATTTGAATGAAACAACTGTTCCCTTCTCAATTTTAAACTGTGCCTCAGCAGGAATCTTTTCTGCCAGCGTACCCTCATCTAAGGCGCTTGAAACCATTTCTGACGGGACGTCGTATGTAGAGAAGTTCTCTCCACATTCTACCATGAGGGAGAAAGTTAAGTCTCCTTCCTCAAATGCCACCACCGTTCCATCTATGGTAGAGGCAGGTTCTTGGCAGTCCTGAAATTAAAAATAATAAATTAACAGGGTATTTTCTAGTATTCACTATCATAATGGGATGAAATTGATGTGTTTGGAATCTTTTTTTAAGAGTATATTTTTCAATGAATTAAGAAGCATCAGCTGTCAAATCATTTATCCAGAGTGTTTCAATAAGCTTATAGCTTCCAACACAATCAAACTGAAATAAATCTGTATAAACTAAATCATTTATCAAGTACCCATTATACCGGATAACAAGGACAAAGAGCCCTGTAATTATGTATGTTTCTTGCAAAAGCATTAATGTAAGAAATCCACTGGATTTAAGCAAAAAACATCTTGTTAATACATTAATGGCAACTAGAGCTGTCATATTGAATGATTAAATACTTTGTAAGCTGGTGTCACCATATCATAACATTACAAATATTAAAGTTGTTTATAAATCCCCAAAAGCTCAAAACAGTGTTCGAAATTAGCAGTAGTCCTATAGCCCCAGACTACTAAATTACTCCTCGGGCTACCAACTTTTCACAGTAACAATCCAGACCAGGCTACTGTATTTTCAGAGGCAATATAAACAACTGTCTTGAACAAATGAATCGTGCTAGTGAAATGTCTTTTGGGCTAGTGAATATTCCAATCTGGTGGTCTGACCAGCCTAGTGTATTCAAATCCGAATGTCTAACACTGTCGAAATGGTAAGAATTAAATACAAATGTAATTAATAGTTTTACTTTATATAAAAAAGGAAACTGTAAGTACCTCAATTTGTGTCCTTGCTGTTGAAGAGACGGAAACCTCATCTTTGTATGAGGTGACCACAACGTTCTGTAACTTGACATACTGGCCAACTAGCGAGGAATCGGTAAGGTCCCTCCAGAGCGCCACTTTCAGTGTGTCAGTTGAGTCCTGAATGTTGATGTTCTTTACCTGAACATCAGCACCTCTCACCTTCACTGTTCTGACTGCCTCCTCATGTACAGAGTATATAACATACCGTATAAGTGGTTTTTTCTGCGGGCTCCAAATTCTGCGGTTTTTCCAAATTTTGACATTTTTTTATTTCTGCGGACTTTATTTCTGCGGCACATTCTTTGGATAAAACGTGATTTAAATTCTGCGGCTCATCTTATCAAAGTCTAAGTCACATTACATGTTTTAGTTGCATGTACACATTCGTATTAAAATTTTGTTTATCGTCGTCACCGCAAAACTATATAGTAATTACAAGCAATTATATTGTTTGCTTGCCAAACAAAATACAATGCGCAACAAAAGACAGTATGCATCTTAATTCTTTTTGATCAGCGTGAAAAGACGTGTGAAAAATATACCCTGGTAGTATCTTTAATTTAATAAAATTGATAAAAGTTTTATCGTAAATCAGACAACAATTAATGTATACGATGATTATTTAGCAGTATAAGGGATTTAGTGGTAAACAAACCTTTTAGCGTACAGGCAAACACTTGATGT